CTTAGGTCTGTAGCAGTGTCCTCGTGCTGYGGCACTAGAGGCACTTAGGACTAGTGGGTGCAAGAGAGCATCTCTGCAACCTTGCCTGGTCGAGACTGAGGGGCTCGAGTTTGTTTAGCCCAGGATGTCTTTCTGTGCTTGCTTCTCTGGGTAATAATCCCAGCATTTCTAATCAAAGATGAATTTATTTTCTTTCTTTATATACTCTTTAGGATTAAGAAGGAGATGGAAGACTCGGAAGGCCCTTGTATCAGACTCATCAAACCACAGTGATCCTAACCTTAGAATAATTCAACCTGAGCTGAAATAGGACCGCAGTGGGAAAGGAGCCTTTGCCCCCTGCCTGCCTGTTCTAACAGCTCTATCCAGCCGTTGGTTTGTTGGACGGTTGGGAATCTCCCTTCACAAGCAGCTTTGAGTCTTTGCAGTGCAGCCCCAGAGCTTTTCTACAACAGCAATTTATCAGTCTCTTCTTATGCAACTGCTCCCGTTACTTAAGAAAGAATCAAATCAATTTTGTAGTGCCTTCCTAAGGTGTAACAGGAACTCTTAGCTTTGGAAATTGTCTCAAGACAAGTGTGTTATTCTTTAAAAAAATGTAYGTTGAAGCTTGCAGTCTTTGAATGACTTCTCTCCTTCCCGCTTTTGTGGAATGGGAAGAATAGAGTGACTGTATGGACTAGGGAACAGGAATTCAAAGTTTGAATTCTCCTTTTTTTTCCTTTTTTGTTTTTTCTTTTTAATCTCCTTTTGTGCCTTATTTGACCTTGAGCGAGTGATCTAGTGCCTGATAGAACAACCAGTTAAACTGGTGCCTTGCTTAGTTTACGTGCAGGAGTTGTCCCTTTGGAGGAGACTCTGAACACATTAAAATTAAGTGCCTAGGTAACTTGTTAAAATGAGCTTCTGTGTTTTGGGGTTTCAGTTCACCATTTGTAAAAACTTTTCAACTCGACTAAATTCTGGGTTCCTGCAATCTAATGTAAACATTGWCAAGCTTCTTATTTTACTCTACACAAAAATTTTCACTGGCTTTAGTGGGAATTAGAAGCTAGTTCTGATATGGCCAATATTTTTGTAGGCCCATCTGAAGTGGAGCAATGAAATAGTTAATGTTGCAATATCTGCTGGAGTAGTTAATGTTGAAATACCTGCCTCATCTGTCTTTCACATTGTCCCAGCAGGGGTTGCGTTACGTGGTTGGCATCAGTGCTGTTCCAGCTCCTGCTTCTTGCACATCCTGCTTTTTTTTTTTTTTTTTTTTTTTTAATCCCCCACCTCTCCCCCTGCCTCTTAATGCATCTCTTAGTGTAATCAATAAGTGAATCTGTCATCTGCTTATTTTTGCCTTTATTTTTCTCACCCCCTCCCTCCCCACACCCAGGACAAATTAGCAGCAAGCCAGTGAACTGAAGCTGCTGCTCCTCTGAATTAGCCTGTGCCGCAGGGCAGCTTTGCATTTTTAGTGCCAAACTGACCTGAGTTTGTGGGACTTGGAGCAGCCAGTGCATCAAGAATTGGGATTTCCAGCGATGACCCGTGTTTGGTTGCAAGCCCTGCCACACCGTTCTCCACCACGGCTTTGGAAAGGGTGCAGCAAGTCCTTCCTGGGGGGCTTTAGGTGATGCTCTTCCCTGCAGAAGGTTTATCCCTTTCTGTGTGGTGGCAGGGTAAGGAGAGCCTGCATTCAGTTTTGGAGGGCTTTAAATGCTGCTTAAAAAAGTAAAAAAACAAAAAGTAACTCATTGTCCCCCTCTTCCCACACTGGTATGCAGAGCAGTGTTATCTAGTCAATTAAGAGAGAGATCCTGTTGAGTTCTGTATTTAAACCTGCAGGTATTTATTTAGAAGTCAAATTTATCTGGATCTGGACAGATCTGGAATGAAAAGTTTGCATTTTCCTTGGTCTGTCCCTTTTGCATATAGAAGGGGGTTGTATTTTCCTTGTTCTGTGCCTTTTGCATATGGAAAGGGATTGTGTTTTCCTGGTTCTGTGCTGTTTGCATGTTGAAATAGGTGCAGGTCTTTCTCTGTGATGCGTAAAATCCAACCAGCTTTTATCTGAACTGCTTCTCTGAGCAGCCTCCTAACCTGCCGAGGTGACTCTCAAGGAGTGGGAGGTGAGGAACCCAACAGGCAGAGCTGGGCAGGCAGAAAGCAGCACCTAGTATGTTAATAGGTGCCCGTCCTGGGACACGCTGCCTTCGTGCCCTACCAGCTGCTAGATGGTAGTTATAGAGGATCTTAAAATGAAATTGTAGATTTTTTTTTTTTTTCAAATGTGCAGCAGTCTAACCTGAAATAGAGCAGAACGCTGAGGTTCCCCTTTTGCCAAGGGGAACTTGTCTCCCTGTTCTGCTTTCTCCACTGCCATGTGCTTGTGGTGCTGAAAACAAGTCATTTTGGGTTCATCTCGGCAAAAACCTGTTAAAATGATGCCCATCTTCTATGGGCTTGAGTCCAAAGTCTACCCATTTCCTAACGTGTCTCCAACTTTGGACTTTGTGACAGGTATCATCCAGTACTTAAACAAACTTTTARGCCCAATTATTCGTTGAAGGCGAAGAGTGGGTGGGATTTAGAGCCAGCTCTGAACTGAAGAGCTCTCACACCTTTTTTTCCTACCTTTGAAGGGTAGAAACTGCCCAGGCCGTGAGCTGCGCTGCTGAAACCTCTGTGAGAGATGCTCCCATGTTATCCACATCTCCGTGGCCGTGGAGCCTGGGTGAAGGTGATGGGAGYTGTGCGTTAAATCGCTCTGCGTGGAAGGTGCAAGAGGCTTCCCGCGCGTGCGCCACGCCGGCAGCTGAAGCCTTCAGCCCTGATTAAAGGAAACTAAGTAATTCTCACCACATCAGTGACCAGAATGATGCCGTTTAATTAAAATATGTCTAGACAAATAACCTAGGGAGAGCGAGATACCATCTCTAATAAGCACTTGAGGTTTCTGCGTAGGGACCATACTAAATAAACTCATGAATAGCTTCATTTCTTTCCCAAGTGTCTTGAGTCTGGGAGCAGAGCAGCCACTTCTGGTGCGTGTTTCCCATGTAAGTTGTTTGGCGTTTCTGTCTTTGTTAGCAATTATTTTTACCTGGCTGTAAGTAACATTTTCTGTGGTGTATTGATGAGCACTTGTGGCTACTGTTTTATTTTCCAACTTAGCTTTAGAATTCTAATGGGATATTTTAAAGGGAGCATAAAGGAAACRTTTCTGAGGTGAATAAGAATCAAGTCTTATCTTGATTGCTTTCAGGTACGTTTAGCCCTTCTTGTTCTGTGGTGCTTGGAGCTGACACTGTATCTGTCACGGTTGTGTGACACCTTTCATTGAGAGTGAAGTAACTGCTTGTAATAGAGGTTTAGAGTTGCTGCCACATCCAGGAGTCGCACAAAGTGCTAGAAACACAATCTCTTAACTTGTATTTTGTTAGACTTTTTAAAGACTTTATGTTGAAGTTTTTTTTTCTTGCTTTCTCTTTTAAAGGGCTGAAAGAAAAGAGGTAGGTTGGGTTTTCAAGCAGTTCTCCTTGTTCTGCCTTGCTTTCCGAGAGTGGTTTCACTCCTTGTAGTGGTCTGCTTTAGATAGGGGCTTCATTCCACATAGGAAGTTGTCCTGGGGTAGTGCCATGGACTTAGTCTTTTACCTCAGTCCTGGACTTTATTGCACTAGAAATGATCCTTGAGTCAGTAGGTGTTTGAAAGAGATAAATATGCAAAAGAGAGAAGCACTTGGGAGTGAGGGCAGGAAAACATGCAAATAATGTTCTGTACTTGTGCCTGACAGGTGTGATGCTGAGTGTTGATGTCAGCTCCGTTGCTGGGGAGCTGTCACTCTTTGCTAAGAAATAAACCCCTAAAACCTCCCATTTCCCCCACCTAAAGCCAAAAAAGCTAGGCCAAAAAGCCTTGATTTTAAGACTCAGATGCCCTGTTGGAGGAGGAGAAGCAGGGTGCTGGGAAGGCGCCAAGAAGCGCAAACGTATGAGGGAAGCAGGTGAGGGAGCGGAGGGCGCGCGAGCGGAGCGGCGGGCTGGAAGGTGCCCGGCTGCTCCGCGCGGCGCCGGGGGAGCCGCACACAATGGCAGGAAGCGCCAGCAAGGAGGGGCTCTAAGCAGCAGGGATTGTTTCATTTAGCCGTTGTTGGCCTTAGAGGAGAGCGGAGAAGGAAAGCAGAGGATGTGAGCGGCCGAGAGCCGTTCCCTCCGCCCCGCACCCTCTTGCACATGCCCTTTCCCAAGCGAGATGGGGKGCGTGCGGGAAGGGGGAGTGGGGAGTTGGCTGACACCGTGCAGKGGATTTGGGGGAGATTCAAGAGCGTGGGGGCTTTGTCATGAGCTGTAACAGGTCTGCTGTGTAGCCTTGGCTGAGTCGGTCCCCTGCTATTCCTCCTTTTGCCTTTCTGTTGACCTGAGAGGTGGATTTGAAGGTTGAACTAAAGAATATATTGCCTTGCACATCAGGATTTTTCTGGAGTACGGTGGAGTGGAGAATGTTAATGATGCTCTGAAGCAAAACCACTAGGTAACTTGTTGGTGCGCTGACACTGCTGTTCCCTGGGTGGAAGTTTGGTAAATACTTTGTGGATAGATAGCAGGAAGGCCGAGCACTGCACGGTCCCTCGCCCTGGCCGAGTGACTGGAAATAGGCACGAAGCTAGGAGAATAGRTGGAAGTGTGGAAATGCAGGGGTTTGTGCTGCTATTTATTCTCCTTTTATCAAAAGTGAGATGGAGAGAAGGTTCTTATCCCTTTGCTTTTTTGTCCTTTCACCTCCCACCTATCTGGTTTGATCTTTTACTGTGATCCCATCTCAGGTGCAGGCAGGTTCCTGTGGCTGTTGTGGTTTATTTTACACAGCAACATAGCAAACTTGCTGGTATTGACAGCTTAGCCAAAGATGGTGGGTTTTTTTCTGGTCCATTTAAGAAAATCCCCGTCCCTCCTGATAGGATGTTATTTCAAGTGCTTGATTTTCTTCCTGTTATTATTATTTTGCAGGGTGGTAAAGGAAGAAATCTCAGATGACAATGCAAAGCTACCGTGCTTCAATGGAAGAGTGGTGTCCTGGGTATGTTGGTTCACGCTTCTATATATGTATATATTGATTTATTGATGACCTGGCAAAGTAGTTGGTATGTGGATTCTCATTGTCAGAAGTGCTTTGAAATGTTCSATCCCATTTTACAAGGAAGCAAAAACATAGTTTTTCATTCTGTCTGTAACATCTTATTATTTCTTAACACACAAATGTTTACCCACTTGCCTTTTGTTGAAAATGGTACTAGGCAGGTCCTTAATCCTTGTTAAAAATAGGCTCAGCGACAGCAGGTGAAGGTAGCAGCCAGCTCGCCAGCAGTAGGAGGTGGAATCACACGCTCAGCAGCCAGTGCCAGGGTGCATTAAAACCCTGTTTATTTCAGCTGAACAAGTGTTGGTGAGCACAGATCGTGCAGGTAATGGGAATGTATATGCTCTGCAAAAGACACACTCCCTATTTGCTTCCTTTCCATCCATAAGCTTCTTTTTACMTCTTTATGTACATGCCAAGCATGTGGACTCAGTTTATAGCACAGCTGCTGCATAGCTGTATTATAGCACAGATGATTTAGAGCACTTTTTTACAGATGCTACAGACAAAAGCTCCTGTTCATCCTTCCGAGCAATCAGCTGGGACATCTGTGCCTGACCTACATTACCAATTGCAAATCACTTTTTTTTTTTTTTTTTGCATTAACACCCATAAAATTGTCATGCTTATCTGCTTTTCCTTGCTACTAATTATTGTTGGAGTTTTATGTAAATCTTACTGTAAATTAATTGTTCACAGTTGGGAATCCCCTCATATCCTATTCACTGGAACTAAACAGATAATTGCATCCATACACTGCAGGGCTACCAAAGTTGCTCTTTACATTTTTAGGAAAAAAACAACTATTGTTTTTGGCAGGGTYGTATTCTTGTTTGGCTCCCCACGTTGATGGGGTTGAGCTGCCTTTGTCTCCCTTGCTGCTGTACAATATCCCTCAGCTGGTAGCAGCCAGCTTGGATTCTTTCCGCAAACCCTCGGGGATAATTGTCCTTCTCCCCATAAATTGCTGCAGTGTGGGGTGTGGGTTCCCCGTGCAAGCGCTGTGCTGCAAATGGGAGCATTAAGGACACACCACAGAGCTGAGCTCCCCTCTCCACTGCTGCAGCGACTACTTTGATGTTTGCAAGGTGACTGATGCTGGGAAAGTTGAGAGTTTTGTCTTTGTTAGGAATAGCYGAGTCTTTGGATTTGCCATAGGCAGGAACTTTGATCTCAGTGGCTCATGCAGGACCTGTTTCCCTCAGAGAAAGGGTTTACGGGAGGCTCTGCAGGGACCCAGTGCCCTGGGAACCCAGTGCAGTTAGGTTAAGGCTGAATTGGGATCSTGTTCTTCATTAGCAGTTTGGACTTCTTGCCATCCCCGCTGTGCCCTGCTTGCCTTCCTCATCTGCCTCTGACATTTTCTGCTTTGGTTTTSTTTATTTTCTTTAAAGACTAAATAATTGGAGAACAGAGGGCTTCTGCTTATGAGATTTGTAGAGCATCTGTGGGGTGCAGYCTGATTTACCTTTAGGATTTTCAGCAACGTAGACACTGATGTTAATTATTTAGCAAATACTTCATTTAGTCCTTATTGTTGTAACTGCACTTACATAAACACACTCCATTTCCTGCGTATCTTACATAGGACGAGAGTGAAAGTGGGGATGACAAACTGACATACACATTGATATGAAATAAAATCTCTATATATGAGATAAATATGAAGCAAACCTTACTGTAATGTGTTTTATTTTTGCGATCTGTCACCCCACCAGCCCCCAGTTCCTCCTTCCCCCAAACTGTAAGTACCAGGCAAATGCTCTGGGTTCAGATCTTGTTGGCTCCTGCATTTGATTATCTGGTCTCAGAGAAAGGAGGGCAGTAATTACTGTGATTTATGTGTTGTCACTGTCCCACGCCATCCTGTTGAGGTTTGTTTTTAGAACCATCTCAACGTGGTTTGTTCTGGAGCAGGGTCTCTGCGTGAATGTCTGTGCCAACACAGTGGCTCATATCTGAGGCTGATAACAATCCCTGACCTGATAAAGCTGCTAGGATTATTGCACTAGCCAAGGAACAAGCCCATTGTTTATCCAGATTTTCCCTTTTCATTAGCACCATATTTTAATTTTGCTGCAGGCAGCAGTAGACACTGGGTGCCAACTTCCTCTCATTGCTTTAGCTTTGGCCATTAAATCACAAAACTCCATACAAATGTCCTGGCTCAAGTTACTGGGTATTAGGATGGGCTGTTTTCAGCTGCCTTTTTTTTTTTGCTCTGGACATTATGTTCTCCTTCGYTTTTCTTTCACGTTCACTTAAATGATCCTATAACTGGCCTGTGCTCCAGGGCAGCCGATGAACACATTTTTTTGACGTGTAACGTCAAAACGTGATGTATGACATAAAAGGACTTCGGGGCATCTTCTCCTGATGTATTTTACATTGCACTCCTGCCCAGTGTGGTGGTTGGTTCTGAGAAGATGAAAACTCTGTGGTGCTCACAACAACTCTATGGGTATCCGAGCTATTTTCAGGGTGAGATTGAATGTGATGGGCTTTTTTGAAGGATTAACAGGAATCCTCCATGGAGCCACCAAGCCCTTCTTCTCCCTCCAGCTCCTTGAGGTGTTCGCAGGGCGTGCAGAAAAGCAGGGCCTCTGTGGAGGTGCAGAAACCTGCACCAATGTGTGTCAATTCTCTGTCCTTTCTGTTGACAGCTGGTCCTGGCTGAAGGCTCTCACTCTGACACGGGTTCCCARTGCACCGAGAGCCACACGGACCTCCCGCCTCCCATCGAGAGGACGGGYGGCATTGGAGACTCCCGGCCGCCCTCATTCCAGTAAGAGAAAATTCTCTTTTTTTTTTTTTCCCTTCCCTTTAAACCAAAATCTGCATTTCTGCTCCGCTTCTTTCCCCATATTTCTCTCTACTGCTGCAAACTAGCTATTTATTGTTATCATTGCAAAATAGCTTTCAGTGTACAGTGGCTAATCCTGCCCTGGGTGCCGAGGTGTAAGCAGCGTAGCTTGCCGAGCTAAACGAGCTTCCAGTGGCTCTTGCATAGTCTAATTTGCAGAGTTTCTTCTGCTTGTCCCATGTGGGAATGCCTGTGGCCTGGAAGAGCCCTCCATGCTCTGGGTGAGTCTCTTTACAGATAAATGCCTTTTGGAGGGGACAGGACGTGCTGGAAGATGCTCGGGTGTCTGACACCACGTTTCTCGCCAGGCTTTTGCTGCCCTCGTGCGACGGAGCCTCGCTCTGCGTTGGCTGCGGAGGGCCTGGATGAGGGCGCTTGCGGGGCCCGAGTGTCCTGGCTCCAGGTTGTGGCTTGGGAAAGGCACGTGCTGATTCTGCAGCASCATCTCCGGCAGTGCCTCTGCTTCCCGTCCCCTTGGGTTGTGTTTTCTCAGCCATCATTAGGGCAACCCCCTGACTTTCCCAGCCCTAACCTCAGTGACACTGCAATCCCATGTACCCCGTCCTCCCCTCCCAAAGTGAGTTACCTTCTTTATTCCTAGACCCCTGAGGTTTTGCTTTTATTAATGCCACAAAAATCACCACAGACCTGTCCTCTCCCATCTTCTTTCTTCAGTAATGGTTGTGTTAAGATAATTGGGGTCTTATTTGTATGAAAAGCCCCAGCTGAGCTAGAATGTTGTGTGATTGCTSATACAGAAATGCAGAAATGTTGCTGGCCTGCAAAGACCCAAGAAGTGGATGGAGTGGACAGAGCAGTAGGCAGTGTCAGCTATAGGAATGAGGTACATGTCAGAGGAAAGCCTTGGTTCCACATAGCAGTTTGACAGTGTTTCACTGTTGAGTAAATCCAAAGGAAGAGTACTTTGGGAAAGCTGATGAGGCGTCTGATGCTCATCTTGGACCTCCTGCACCAGCACTTTGGTTTGCTGGCAAGCTGGGCGTTGAGAAAATCCATGCTGAGAAAACGGAGAGATTCCTTCTGAACCCTTTTGTCTGCTTCTTTAGCCTGGTGAACTGCTCAGCGGTGGATGGCAGCAGTGAAGTCGCTAGATGGTGCTGCTGAGATGTCTTGGTGTCTTCCAGGCCTGGGTGCATCGCTAAGGGCTCCCACCTTTGTGTTCAGCAAAGCTAGGAAAGGGTCACCCTGTGCATCTGAGCAGGACTGAAAAGAGAAAGGCAGACGTGCTTGGGACAGCACTTAGAAATATGCTTTCATTTGGAGAACGTCATCGGGACTTGGTGTGTGTTCAAATGTTTGCTCAAACAGGGACCTCTATTTCCTACTTTATATGGAGACCTACCAGGACATTTCATTTGTCCAAGTTGTCATTGTCCAATGACACTTTTGATGGTTTTTTTTGATGATTTTTTTTCTGATGGGTGGAATTTGAGGGACAGAGGGGAAGAGTATGAGCAGTAAGTGTGAGTACCACATCCCTGCTGGGAGGCATCTTTCACAGCAGAGCATCAGCCTATGCCAGACCATGCTCAGATGCATTTTCAGGATCTGGAGGCCACTTTCAACAGAGTCCATTGTTTTTCCACCTCCTTGAGAGGCTTTTCTCACTCCCGTGCTGCACGGATGTAGCTGTGTGGCTTTCGAGCCCTCCAGAGCATGGGAGGAAGTTCTGGGATCTTTTTTTATGTCCTGCAGACATGCCCTTAATTATTCAGAGCCTTGCTGTGACTTACCAGAGCTCAGCCTTCAAGGTCCCCACTTAATATTGAAGGTGGCTGCAGTTGTGTCTCTGCGCTCGCTGCCAGGGTGCCGTGTGTCTGTGGGCRGGGAAACCAGCGTGTGGGTGAACAAGCACCCAGGCAACTGAGCCCAAAACGCCAGCTTTAGTAGACAAGACTCTGTCTTAGGCAAACACCTTTCGAATATTGTAGAAGAGGCAATTGCAGAAGCTGACTTTTTGTTGCAATATCAATGCACCAGAGATCTGTTTTAAAAAAAAATTTTCTTTGCCCATGAGTAGTTTTTCTCCATGAAAACTTCATGCAAATGTCTCACGGTAGCGTTTTTGGTGTAATGATGCTACTTCTGCAAATGCAACTGTGTGTGTGTGTGGTTTTTTTTTTCTTTTTTTTTTTTTTTTTTTAGCAAAAATGACTCCACAGTTTCTTCCTGTTTTTTCCTCTTACAGCCCAAATGCTGCCAGCAGTAGAGATGGCTTGGACAACGAGACGGGAACCGAGTCCGTTGTTAGTCACCGGCGAGAGAGACATCGGCGCAGGGCCAGAGAAGGGCATGAAGATGGTGAGTTCCTTCCCCTTCTTCATTCACAATAAAAAAACAATCTTTCTTTTCATCTTTCAGACCCAGAGCTACTTTTGCAGGAATACTACTGAAGAGAAGTGTGCCTGGGTTCCTGTGCGTTTCAGACACTAGTAATATTTTAATGGAAAAAGACTTGATAATTGCTTTGAAAAACTTTGAGGCTCTGGAATTTCTAGGTCTGCACAGCCTGCGGTGAAGTAGCAGAGATTTTTGTCTAACGATATAAAGACTTTTCTGTAGTTTTAGAAGATGATCAGGCTGGAGAGGAGTGATAATTTAGCTGATGATAAGGGGCTCAACTGCCCCTCTTATTCTTGTTTAAAGGTAGGTCCTATTACCTGTATGATGTGTTAGAGTTTGCAGTGTAGACAGTTTGAGAGCCTTATATTTTAACATTATAAGGCCTGAGCCCAAATCCTCAGAAATAGTTTGATTTCTCTAGGCTTAGGGCAGCAGCAAGGATTTATGCTGGTAGATCTATGGTACATGCGCAAACTTCAGGACTTGCTTCTAGTCGATACATCAAAGTAAGCTTGGTTTTTCTTTTATTGCCAGACAACAATTTCCAGGCTTAATTAAGAATTAATAGATGCCACCCATTGAGTCTAAAGTGGTTCAGAATCTGGAATACTTGGGCCAAGAGATGCCAGCACAGAGTTTATTCACAGTCCCACCCACTGAAGTATTTGCCTCCAGTTAGAAAACTAAAAGTCACTATATATTGGGTTTTAGAAGCAGGTGTCTTTGTTTATTTAACGCTTCCAAATTGTCACTGGCTCAAAGTGAAAGAAAATTCCCCGAGCAGCGGGTGGAGCAGCGAGCTGCCTTTGCCTGCTACTCACTGCACATTCCTTGGGCGAACCGCAAAGCGAGAATCCTCTAATACGGTCACAAAGGTTATTATTGCAAGAATGTTAAAAGGGCATTTGTTTTTACTGTTAGTTTTTCAGATGTGCCTGTGTGAACTTGATAAGAGGGAAGCATGAAAAGACACTTTTCTTGGTTTCACTTGACTTTCCCTTTTCCTCCTGTTCTTCTACTGTACTTAATGCTGCATTCCAGAAGAAAAGAAGGGAAATGCTGAAATTCTTCCAAAGTTGCTTGACTTTTTTTTTTTCCTTCTTCTCTATCTAACATTGCTGAGTGCCCTTCATTCCTGGTAGGGTGCGTTTAGTTACCTGCCCATTTAGTGTATTGCATTATTAGGCACTAAAGCTGCCTATTAAAGAACTCCGTGTCTCYGTGTCTGCCTGTGTTAAGAGCATGTTGTCTTTTCCATTCTTGTGTGTCTCTTCCCTTTCTTGCTGGCTTAATGTGGCCAGAGCCTGGGCCTTGTGCTTAAGTGGATGGGTCTTTACCTATTACAGCTGAAACTAACTTGAGTTTCAGAAGAGGCAGCTGAGAGATTTCACGGTGTGCATCACTYGCCGTTATGAAATAGCAGTAAATTCATGTTTCCATGCAGAAATAATGAAATGCARTTAGTGCTTCTGACTTTACCCTGTAGAAGTTTGTTTAAATAATACCAACGTGTTTGTTCTTGTAGCCCCTCGGATAAATGGCCACCCCAAGTTAGACAGGCACCGGGAGCACCCTCCTGGGTATGACAGCTCTTCCACCATGATGAGCAGTGAGCTGGAATCCAGTAGCTTCATTGACTCGGATGATGATGACAACACAAGCAGGTAGGGGGTTGGTGGGGTGGTTCAGTTGKTAAATACTCTCTACATCTGGTTCTCAGCTTCTTGACGGTGTGTCTGAGCTTTCCTTAAACAGATTGAGGAGATGAGGTGCCTCCTATCCCCTCTCCTCTTCCCTCTCTTCTTTCTTGGCATCACCTCTGTTTTTCTGCTAGCTGTGATTCGAGCACTGGTATCCCACTTTGGGATACCAAAGCCTTTTCYAGATCGCTGGTGGCTTGGAGAGGTCTGTAGCTGACACGAGATATAAACAAGGCATTTAAAATTTTACCTAGATGAGAAACAGCAGAGAACAGCAACTCATAAAGGTGACACCTCAGTGTTTGCCGTGTTTACAAACAGATGATTAGCTCAGTGAGTTCAGTGGATGTATTTGTGGTCTTAAGGTTAGTCACTGCTTAAATACCTGTTGAAGAATACCTGTTCTTTCTGATGCTGTTTAAATGCTGAGCCCTTCCAAAGGATTGAAGGGGTAACTCTATTAACAGTGAATATTTTGTCCTGAATTAGCTGTGAGAACCTATTGTGCAGTTCCAGCAAAGTTGCTGACACCTGAAAATACCAAAAGTTAGACCTTAGGATGCTTTGTAGTTGCCTTGGATATTCACGTGCAGGATCAGTGGTACCTGTGGTACTTTCTTAAAGCCTTTAGGGCTTCCAGTCCTCCTTTTCCTCCCACCTTAAAAAAAAGAAAAAAAAAATCTGCAGGTGATTTTGTTTCTTGTGAATAATTGAATTATTTCCATGCAGCAAGATATGCGGTAGGAGAGACTTAGAGCATGCACAAAGAAGCACAGGACTAGACCTAGCAAATACCCATCTATGAATAAAATAAAACTTCCTGTGCCCGACCTGACCAGAAAGAGACTCTTAAAAACTGCTGTGCAGGCCTTTCCTTCCGAGGGCAGGAGCTGCTGGCACCCGAGCAGCCGTCAGACCAGCCCGGCAGGACGGGCGCGCGTAGGAATGCTCCGAGGAATGCGCTGCACACGCTGCCAGCCAAGGGATTTCCTAGGAGGCAAGTGCAGGCACACGGGGAAAGCAGCCGGGCTCCGCGCTGCAGACCGGGAGCTGCCCGGGAGGTCCAAGGGGCCGAGTGTGCTCGGGAGCAGCTCGCGAGCCGTGGCGTGTGGAGCCGCGTAGGACATCGCGCGTGGAGGAGTCGGGAGTGAGGAGCGTTGCTGCCCTGCACGCGAGGAGCTGCTGAGGTTTGCGCTGCTTTAGGAGGGGGTTGACGTTTAGCAAAATTCACTCGGCTGCATTGTTGTGTGTGGCCCAGGGTGTCGTTTCTATAGTGCAGGCGGGTCCCTGTCAGAAGCTCTGCAAGTACCGAGGTAGTTTTATTGATTTTTGGAAACTCAGCAAACAGAATTGTTGTTGCTCTTTCACTTAATCCCTTTCTTTTAGGGGGGATGCAGGAAAAGAGAAAAAGTTTGCAATTATTTTTTTCCCTTTATCTTGCAGTTATGATATAATGGGAAGGTAGTGGCTTCTGCAGGTGGTTGGTGATATTTTGATTGAAGATTGATATAAGATGCTCCCCGTAAGCTTTTCAATAGCTTGCTTCTGCTTGGCTTTTCTTAAGCAAATAAGCATCTAGAACTTGAGCACGTGTGGCTGTAGGGTCACTGTCAGCAACCAACAACTAGTATTCTTATTCTGAAGTAACTGAAATAATTCACTGTGAAAATATAATCTACGTTCATTTCTCACTTTAGAATTAACAGTGGTTCTTTTAAAAATATATGAGTGGCTTTAATTTAACAAATATTTTGTTACTCTTTTTCCTTTGAGGAATGTAGATTTTTCTTTTTAAAAATCTTCCCTGTGGTACTCATAAGCCCTTCTGTTAAAAATACAGGCAGGACTTCGGCCAGCAGGGAGTGCAAGAAATTGGTGCTTATAATTCCTGATTTTTTTCTTCATCTTTGCTCTGTACTTGGAACCTGTTATTTACAAATACACTCACACACACTAGGAGTCTAGCCAGAGCTGCATTGCACATAGTTTTATTAATACAGCTAAAATCACAGCCCAGCTTCTCGCAAGAAGAGAGAAAAAACCTAAGTTGAGTCCTACATTTGTGGTTTCTGTAGTGTAATATAGTTACTCTCTTATTTATTCTTTACTCATGTTTTTCAACACCATCTTCTAATATTTGTCTATGAAGAAGCCAGCATTTAGGCACATAAAAATGTTTCTGTAATGTCTGTTGAGGGTGAACTTTCTGAAACTAATGTGAGAGACTCTTTTAGGACTGGTTSACTGTTAGGTCCTGGAAGATGGGTTAGCTGGGAACACTGGGGAGTTAAACCCGGGTGTTGATGTTCTTCATTCGTGACAATCAGTAGCTTTTTTGAGCTTTGCAGAGCTGCAATTTGGTGTGCATTCCCTGCAGGTTGAGCAGCTCCACCGAGCAAAGCACCTCGTCACGGCTCATTCGGAAGCATAAGCGCAGGAGGAGGAAACAGAGGATGCGGCAGATCGACAGGGTGAGGCTGGCCCGGCAGCTCCAGCAGCAGGGGCTTTGAGCGTGGCATGCAACTTGGGAAGATCATCTGCCCCCTTGAATTCACTGGAAAGACTCCCTTGGCTCCAGGGTGCTCTGGACACCTTAATATTTCCATGGCTCTGCATGTTGGGCAGTCAGGAAGCACGAGGGGTTCGGCTTGGACCGCCCTTGAGAGCTTCACTATGGGAGCTGGCTGGGTGTGTGTCCCTGAGCAGCTTTCAGAGAACGTGCCCATTTCCTCACAGATTCTCAATGAAAAACAGTATTTGGAGGAGGCCACTGTAATGTCTGTATACCTTCCAAACAGAAATGATTCCTCAGTTCCTGATAAAATTGCCTTCAGTGATGCCTTTTATTGCCTGTCTTTGAGCTATTTAAAAACAGAATTCTATTGTATTTTGCAGTCATCCTCGTTCAGCAGCATCACTGATTCTACTATGTCCCTAAATATCATCACTGTCACGCTTAACATGGGTAAGAAATAAGCTTTTAATGATGAATTTTAAATGATCTAAGTGTATTTTTGTCACGATGCAGCAGCCTGTGAACCCATTTGAAAGTTCCCCTAAGTGAAATGACTGCAGTTTGAACAGAAGGCTGTAGCAGTTGAGAGTGGTTGTTCTGTCGACAATCTGTTGCCCACGGTTGGTCCAGCACAGGACCGTTGTGAGTCAGTTGCACAAATAGAGAAGTGTAATTCTTGGCAAGCTCAGGAAAGGAGCTGGAACTGTGAACTTGGGAAATGGTATATTCTTCCTAGGAATGGTAAAGGGTCAGGCTTACTGTAAGGAACAAACAGGGCAGCACTGAAGTTTGTTTTTTTTGCTGCTCATACATTTCTTTGTTTAGCCAGATGGAAACGTTCAGGACTATGAGTCCAGCTTTTTTTCAGTAACACCAAATTCTTTCTGCCTTTCTAAGGTGTGGAAAAACAAACATTGCCTAATGCTGATCATGTGCTTAATTTCTAGGTGTAGACACGTCTTTTCAATGTCATTGCTCTTGCCTATTTTTAAATTCAACTTTTCAGTGTCTGGCCTGAAAAGAACAGTGCTTAGCAATTCTTCCTCGCTGCCGCGAACATGCCAGGCCAGACACAGACCAGAAGAGTAAAGAGCTAATTGTAATAAATCAAGCATGGCCCAGGTGATGTGCTGCGAGAAAGCCATGTACTGATGTAAGGTCTGAAGTAGCCTGGCGATAGCTTTTCACTATCATTCCAATCACCTTGTTTGTTTGTTTGTTTGTTTCCCACCCTCCACTTTCTATCTGTATAGAAAAGTATAACTTCCTGGGGATCAGCATTGTAGGACAGAGCAATGACCGGGGCGATGGTGGCATATACATTGGCTCTATTATGAAAGGAGGGGCTGTGGCAGCAGATGGACGAATTGAACCAGGAGACATGCTTCTGCAGGTTGGTCCATGTCCAAAAATACGTGCTGCTGGCTCATGCATTAGTGGCTTCAGCTCAACCATCCCACCAGATTCAGGGCCCTAACAATCAGTTAACAGAGTTCACCTGTAGCGGGAGGAATGTGTTACATGAAACTCTTAACTCTTTGCCGACACTTTGCTGGATGGTTTATGTGCTCTGAGAATCAAGACATTGCTGCAGCTGCTCAGAAGAATGGAAGCACTTATAAGGCAAATACATTTGGAGCAAATAAGTAAAATGGCTTTTAACTCTCCTGTTGCAAAGCCTGACCTCTGTGTCTTCCAACGTTTCAGGTGAATGACGTCAACTTTGAGAACATGAGCAATGATGACGCAGTACGAGTTTTACGGGAAATAGTCTCCAAGCCGGGGTGAGCTTCTCCCAAAATCTGCTTTGCTTCTTATCCTCCTCACGCAGTTATTACTGCTGAGCAAATGTCAGAAGAGTCAACGTTTTGGTCTGAATAAGCAATCGAGTGTAGCTGCCAATCTCGGCTCTGAATAGGTGAGGCTGATTCCAATTTACCAGCTAAAAGCAACACAAACTAGGAGTTGCCTGGTTTTGTTGGCACTGTTTGTTCCTCTAGTCAGAGCTTTAAAATCCCAGAGCTTATCAGTCAAGTTTTCACCAGTAGTGTTGCTGATAGATGGAAAAATTGAAACAACCTGATACTGGTTCATGCTGAATATACCTTGACTAGCATGACAAAAGCTTTCTCAAAATGTCCTTAACAACTGCCGCATAGGAATAAGTTAATCAAAGGAGTTCACTGTGATCCTCACAGCTTCTACAAGGAAATTCATCCCAGTCTCTTTTCTTTCTTTCTAGACCCATTAGCCTAACGGTAGCCAAATGCTGGGACCCCACTCCCAGGAGCTATTTCACCATCCCCAGGGGTAAGTGCATGTCTGTGCTCCTTGGTGGACTCGTGTAGAGCCTGCAAGACCTCAAACACTTTCAGCTACTCTGACATATGACAAATTTCCTTTCCCTGTTTTTAGTTTGAAGTTTTGATGTATTGTTTGCTTTTTATTTGGAGGCAAAGTCTTAAGATAGCCATCGAGGCCCTTAAGCACCTGCTAAAATTGGAGGAGTCCTTTAGATTTGTGTAGGCCTGGATCGAGCTCTTAGCTGTTTGATGGCTGTATCTGTGGCAAGGTTAGAGGACAGATATTTTTAGTGTTACTAAAGAGTTAATAAACCATTTTAGATTCTAAACTCAGTGACATGGTCAGAATTGTGCATTCCAAAACATTCCCTTACTTCAATCCTGCTGTTTCCTGCAGATCTGATTCCGTTTGCTTGTTTCTACCTTTGTGGTTGTTTTGCAGCAGAACCGGTGAGGCCGATTGACCCTGCGGCGTGGATCTCTCATACCACAGCCATGACGGGAGCGTACCCCCGTTACGGTATGAGCCCCTCCATGAGCATCACCACATCTACCAGCTCCTCACTAACAAGCTCAATTCCCGATTCGGAAAGTAAGTCACACTGCGGCCAGCACAGGGCAGGCGTCTTCTGCTCGGGGCCTGCAGTGCAGAGGTGTGCGCAAAACCGACCCCAGCCACAAGCACGATGAAAACGACAACCACCACAGAACTCTTGAATGTTTTCTTAAATCTCTAAATGCTGTGGGGAGCATAAAACCCTTTCTTTGAAGGTCAGAATTGCACACAGCGATGTCTTGCCATAGTTTGCATTTGGGAACTGGAAGTGGCTTTTGCTTCTTTAAAAGTTTTAAGGCAGGGCTCCAGATTTATCCCCTCAGGTAAACATGGGGTCATCTTCCTTGCATTTGACTGCGGGGTTTTTGTTTGCTTTTATTTTGGTTCTTCTTGGAGATGGGAATCGTTTCTTTCCAGGTAGATAGCACTGGATAATTATGTTAGTATACATTAGGGAGCCTTGCACTGGTATCTGCATAGCCTGTTGTGTGCTTTTCCCTCACATATGTAGTATGGTACAATTCCTTTTTATGGAATTTCTTGAACAGGGGAGAAACAATTTTAACCTCCCACCTGCAATTAAGGTTAAAGTTCAGCCTTTTTTCCTGGTTTGTCTGTCTGTGGCAGTCTCCAGAATAATCGTATCCATATAAACAGTTGAGTTTCCATGACTCTTCATYTTGAAAAATTTTGTTTAAAGTATATGAGCTTTTCCTCTACTTGGTTCTTCCTTTTCTTTCTATTAGAAGTGTAGGATAAACATTTAGTTTGAAATATGTGGCCCTAAGGCAAAGCAAATAAATAAGGAACAGGTATTCCTTAGATGCCTGTCCAGTGAAGTCCTGGTTAAGGAAAGAAGCATTCTTTTTAAATAGGCATAAATACTAGGATCTTGACAGGAAAGTTTTGAACTTTAGACACCATGAATATGTGTCATTTTCCTGTAATACTCATAGGGAAGAGTTTCTTGGAAAGGCAGCCTCTCTATCAGATTGGTTCACCTGTAGCAAGGGAATTTATATGTTTATACAGGGATACAAGTCATGAGGTGGCTTTAAAGTTCTGAGGAGGTGCTAGTTTAGGATGCATTCACTGCAACTCAGGTAACATGCTCAACAAGGCAGGCATGGGGCAGCATCTGCCAGACCCACAGCCTGAATCAGAAAGACTGGTCAGAGCAATTTTTGCTTTTTGTAAGATTTTTCCAGAGATAAAGGATTTAAAAAAAACACATCATTTTAAAGACCAGTGTCTAGTCTATAGACTAGTGTCAGAATCTCTCTCAGATAAATATGTGGCTGAAATGCCAGAGTTCTAATTTTGACTCTTACTTGATGTTGCCTTAGCATCTAAGAGACTACATGAGTGTCTGCCTGTTTTTTTTTTTTTTTTTTTTCCTCTCACCATCTCTGATTTCATAAACTGATAATTGCTTGGAATTATTACCTCACCTTGAATTGAAAGAGGTTTTGTCTTTTTTATAAGAGTAGTAGCCCAGCTTCTCTTTAGGTAGCAGGTGGCAGCTCTGAAGGGGGAATATATCAACAGTAAAAAGCAAGCGGGCCACTTTATGCCATGACTGTTTTACCTTGAGATGTGTTTTTAGGCTTGTTGGTGCTAAGGATTGCTGGAGTTGAATGTATCTGCTGATCACTGTCAAACAGTTAGAGTCTCGCTCTGTTTACATTCCTCTTGAAACATTCATGTATCGGGTGCCTTGGAATATAGTAAAATGATTGAGAAGTGTGGAATGCACAGATCTTCTCAATCATACTTTTTAAAATAAAGTTTTTTGGGAGCAGAACCATGTTTCTGGAGATAGCTTTTCATTTCTATGCCAGTGACATACACCGTTTCCTTTTCTGAATGCAAGAACCCGGGGAATATTCCTTACCTTTACTGCCACCTCTGCTGTTGTTTATTTAATCCCTTTTTCCATGGTTCAGTGGTGTAAACGTTCCTGGAGGCAGCACCGCAGGGCCCTGGGGCAAACGGCACCTGTGAGGGGAACTTTCTGCTGGAAAAGCAGAGTTGGGATAAAGAGGAAGGAGGAGGAGGAGCGAGAGGAAGAGAACACRCATTTATATCCAAAGAGCTGCAGTCAGAGGGGGTCTTTCTGAATGTTCATGTTCCAGTGCAGGATTTCCTCCTCTGGGCTAGAATCCCTGGTACTTGAGGCAGATATAACACCTGGTCTACGGTGTCTGGCTGTAAAAGTGGAGGCAGTGAATTCATGGAGCCCTCTTAGACCAGGGAAAGGGTGTTTCAGGTTTCTTATTTTAAGTACTGTGAATGTCTTCTGCTTTGCTCTGTTTATTCAGCAAGGCCAGGAGAATGTAAATGAATCAAGTAACTCTGCTTTCCATCTGAGTAGCTTCCTTTTGCTTTCTGGCCTCTGGATCAAAACTGAAGTTCTGTCATCTGAAACATTTGCACRGTCACATCCACATTAGTGATTGAGTACCTGAGGTTTTGGGGCCATATAAATCAGCATCACACAAGTCAGATTATTCTATGTTAGTTCTTTATTTTTTCAGGTTTCCAGGAAGATGAAGTTTATTGCTGCCTACCTACATAAATCGATTTCTGATTTTTTTTTTTTTCCAAACATGTTGCTTTTTGCCACTAACCAAACTAACTTTAAAAAGCAAGAGCAAAATTTTATTGTCTATTCAGACTTTAAGGTGTTGGAACTTCATGCGTAGATGGCATGTGATATTTAAAGTGTATTCGCAGTGCATGTACCAAAGGAAGCACTTTCAGTTTTCATTGTTTCATGCTTGCACCTTCTATCAGAAACTCGAGTTGCTGGAACGGAGCAAAACTCRTTCCTTGGGAAGTGGGTGAGCTGGGAGAAGGGTTCGGAATTCTTCCTGGAGCTGGGTCTGACCTATGGCCCTGGGCAGGGTCTGGTTTTTGAATGGGGAGGATGCTCTGTGGGACATCCAAAGAACACAGTCCTCTGGACAGACAGATTCACCCCCTGAACTGCCAGTGTGAGAGGCCTGTTTGCCTCCAGATGTGATAAATGAGGATTTTGTTTTAAAGGAACCAGACTCCAGAGCAGGCAGTTCAGTTCAGCAGGGTGAACCTGGGCCCTCTTGTTGTGGTTTTCTAATAAGAAATCACCAGGGAAGTGTCTGGTGAGCCAGCTCTGCCCACAAGGGAGTCTGAAGTATGGACAGGGCAGTGAGGRCTGAAGCATTTGGGAAGAGCTTTTCTAAGTCCAAAAGGAAGATGCTGGGGGAAAGAGGGTTTTTGCTGTTAAATGAGTTGATGGCTCATTTAAGACTGGCAGCACTGAGAGCCTGGTAAGTTTTTGTTTTGTTTTTTTTTCTTTTATTTTTAAGGGCATCCACCAGCCTTCAACTTGGTATGGAAGCTTTCTCTTCTAATTTAAATGCTCCCCAGTTATGGCCCTGTCCAAGCATTAATAAAACAAATAGGGATTGATACCCACTTGAGACATGGTCATTTTCTTTCTGCAGAGGCGTATCCTGATGATAAACCCCAAAGTTAAAGCACAGGCCAAAAGACCTTGCCCTGAAGAGGTCTGCATATAGATATAGTGTTTTGAACCTCTGGGTGGGCAAGGGTTATTAATGGCAATTAGAAATGAAAACCTTAAAACTCTTGGGGTTTTCTTTTTGAAAATCTTAATGCATTGTGGACTGAAACAGTGCAGGGCTGGTCTGTAGTGGGTTGGTGGATTCAGGATGTGCAGGGACGCAGCATCTCAACAACTAAACTGGTTTCTGAGTCAATTTCTGGAGAATTGGTGTGAATGCTGTAATTGCTGCCCTTGCTAAGGGTGCGCTTGTGTTTTGCTTCACTCAGACAAGCTGAGAAGCTCTTGTGAGAGGTGGTTCGTTTCAGAGAAGCATGTAACGTTTTTCCTTTTAGAATTGGAAGAATCTCCCTTAACTGTGAAGAGCGACATGGCTACTATTGTCAAGGTTATGCAACTACCGGACTCAGGCCTTGAAATCCGGGACAGGATGTGGTTAAAAATTACCATCTCCAACGCAGTAATAGGTAAGCAGATCAAAGATGAGCTGGGGGTAAACCTGGGGCATTTTAGAAATAGGCTGCAGAAACTTTATATGTAATTTTGATTTGCCTGTCACCTGTTATATTCCCTGTGCTGGGTATTTCCTTGGTACAGGGAAGAACCAGTCACTCAGTTGAGCCTGGGATTGAGCTCCTGACTTAAGCTCAGAAGGGCAGCAGGTTTTGTAATTCTAATCCTAGACAGCTGTGCAACCTTAATAAAACACTTAAATTATATTTCATATTACCAAAGGTAGTCTGCCTTTGATCTGAGACTATCCTGTGACGCAACCTGTTTTTGTATTGACAYCCAGGTCTCTTGACAATCCAGCATCTGCCCAGAGGAAAGTGACTTTCCTACCAATTCTGTTCTGTAAATCCTAAGTCATTTCCATGAGTGTGATTCAGAAGGGATTCAACAATTGAACAGTAGCATTTTCTCAACATTTATTTGTTGCTATTGTTAAATGTAGTATTCGGCTTGGGTGCAAGATAATTCTGTGCTTTCTTAATTAACGTTTGGTGTTGATATGAATTGTTAAAAGGCTCTTTACGGCAAAGTTTAGTAGCAGACTGAATAAACTGCTGATGAAAATGACATTTTAAGCTCTTTGCAGCAGGATACTTACATGCTTGTATTTGTGTTCAGCTCAGCACAGCAGCACTGCTAGCTCAGAATAAAAAAATGCACTTGGATGCTTCAGTGTCTTCTCCTCATTTCAGGAGCAGATGTGGTTGACTGGCTCTACACACACGTGGAAGGCTTCAAAGACCGACGGGAGGCTCGAAAATACGCCAGCAGCATGTTAAAACACGGCTACCTCAGGCACACTGTGAACAAAATCACCTTCTCAGAGCAGTGCTATTATGTCTTTGGGGACCTCTGTGGCAGTAAGTTCCCCGGGGGCCTGCGAGGGCCGAGCCGCGCGTTGCCGTCTGCTCCGTGCCGCAGTGCGTCCCGTGGCGCTGTTCCCTGTTTGCTGTTCCGTGGCAAACGGTTGACGGTTCCTGTTGGATGTAGAGCACCTGGAAAAGAAGGATGGACTCATCAAACAGGACATGGTGCTGGGGCTCGAGAAAGCAGGGTTGCTTTCTTGGCCCATACTTTGGGCTTAGCAGTTCCATTCAGCTCCCAGCCTATAAAATGAGGATGATTCTCCCCCGACGTACAGAAATGCAGTACTGCAGTGCTACTGTCTTGCGTGTTTGCCCTCCCATGTGTGGTATTTTGAGTGAGCTCTGGAGATTGAGTCCATCATACCAAGTGCTAGGTCAGACCTTGTTAATGTTCAGGAATCAACTGCAAGTGAAGAAAAACACTTTTCACCTCTTCTTTCCTTTCCAGATATGGCTGCCCTGAACCTGAACAATGGTTCTAGCGGAGCCTCGGATCAGGATACGCTGGCGCCGCTTCCGCACCCTGCTGCTCCTTGGCCTCTAGGCCAAGGATACCCCTATCAGTATCCGCTGCCCCCTCCGTGTTTTCCACCAGCGTACCAAGACCCAGGGTTCAGCTACGGCAGCGGCAGTGCGGGGAGCCAGCAAAGTGAAGGTAAGCTGGTGAATCCGGCATGTCACTCCACAGTTACCATTATCCCCGGTCATTTGCTTGAGCTCCCTCGTATTGTTTGTGCTCCTGTCTCGTGGTTTGCGTGTGTCCTCCGCGTGGGTTCGGCGTGTCTGCGTCGAATCCACACTGTTKGTGTGCGTGTGATGGAGTCAGCCTTTCAGCCCTGGCCTGAAACCAGGGGCATTTTAACAAAATCAGTGCTACATGCTGCCTAATTGACATGGTCGTTTTGTATCCTGTACRGAATGCCAGGGGGGGAAGCAGCTCCGAGCTCCTTATTGTATCCAGGCTGTAGCTTTCTGCTCAACAGCAGCATATGGAAAACTAGTGCTCAAATAATGCTGATCAGGCATGAATGACTCAATCCTTGTTGAACAGATGCATAAATATTAGCATTGCCTCTCTTTTTAGAGGATGGAGCCTTTGCCGTCAGTGGAGGCTACAGTCACTCGGTRCAGCTGGAAATCAGGCCACAGGTTGCTGATGGAAAAGGGATTAGAACCAAGGTGCTCTTGGCTTTCGCTTAAATACACAGGGTGAATCACCCTCCTCGCTTGTGGGAGACAAGTGTGAGGCAGCCAGGCTGCTGGTTTACAGGGCTGAAATGCTGCTCACAGGGAGGAGAGTCGTCTTTGTAATATATGTTAGGGATAAAAAGGTAATACTGCATGGATTAAAAACCTGACCTCCTCCTTTTCTGCTCTACGATCATGTTATGATCCATTTTTAAAATTTAGTGAGTAAAAATGGTCTATTTTATAGCTGTCCAGGCAATACCCACTACAAAAAAAAACAAAACAAAACAAAACAAAAAAACCAAAACAAAACAAAACAAAAAACCCAAGCCAACAGGAAGAAGAACGCATTTCTAAATGGAATTTTGCTTTTGAAAATGCTGCCAATAAAGAATAGGTGAGAATTCTCTGTGCTTCTGCAGCCAACATCCAATACCTTGGGTGCAGCTTCTTCACATTTACTGCAACCAGTTTGATTGTTACAAATTMGGGCAAAAGAGTCCCATGACAGGGCCTTTTTTTTGTAAAATTTTAGCACTGCTACTTCCCACCTTATCCCCAGATAGGACTCCTCCATGAGGAGCTCACAGTAATATCCAGAAGCTTTAGAGCTGCAGGCTGGTTGTGTTGGGAGAGATTTGGCGTCTTTGGCAGCTGGGTCCATGGGCAGTAGACCACTGCTGCTGGAATGGGAAAGGTTGGGAATTTTATCCATGCAACCTGTGTTACCAGCTAAGAAAGCTGTGTGAAAGACATCAGGTGTGTTCAATTTTGAAGAATTTCAACTCTTTCCTTGTTTTGGAAACTACACTGCTGTGTTGTTTCTTGTTTTGTAACTGTTATTCCCTTGTTTTGTTCTGAGCAAGCATTAGACTGAAGGATTCATAAAGGAATGGCTGACTCTAGGGGATTGGTAAGCTTCAAACGCCTCCATAATAATACTGAGTTCACAGCATGATCATTTAGACTCCTGTGACCCAAATGTTTAGCTGTATTTTTATTTTCTTTTATTTTCTTTCAAATGGTCMTGGGTGCTCTGCCCGTCCCAGTGATCTAGTCCTGTGGCATTAGCAGAGTGACCTGTTGGAGCTCGGTGTGACTGTGCCGTGCTGAGGAGCCCTTGGGGACGGGCAGTGGACGTGGAGGAGGGCTCACGTTGAGGATGGTTTGAACAGCTGGGCCAAAGGCAGCAGGGTGCCTCGGGGGACAGAGGATGTCAGCTGAGGAAGAGGGAAAGTAATCCGGGAATTTTCTCCCACTGTAACCAGTGGGCTGCACTGGAGACAGTAGGAGTTGTTTACCCTTCCAAATTAATTTAARTAAAATTGCATCTATTAGGAGCATCCTGCATAATTTTAAAAACCTGCTAGATAATTATATATACGGAGTCATCTCAGAGCAATTCAGCCCATAACCTTTGTGAAGCATTCCCAGCAGCAAAGCAGTGTGGATCCCAAGGGTTTGAGGCCAGCAAAAGGACAGCGTTTAACTGAGCATGATCTGGCCCTAAGTGTGCCCGGGGTGCCCGAGAGCAGCACAGGGGAGATCAGACCCTTTGAAAAGCACATGCCAGTGGAGGAGAGCAAAGACACAGACAGCTGAAATCAGCTTAAACCAAACAGGATTTGGTCTGAGATTTTGGTCTCCTGACTCATGAGCCAAACCAAGCGAGGTTTGATTTGGCTCGTGAGTCAGGAGACCAGGATCTGCTGCTACCTGCAGGCTTTGCTCCTGCCCTGCGCACGAGGAGCAGTTTGGGCTCGTGGGCTTCAGGCAGCAGTTCAGAACCGGCGTTTGCTTTTGGTACAGCCCCTGGAGGTGTCAGTGTGGACCCGTGCATGGCACACGTTTGTCAGCTTTCTTCTACCAGTTGTCACCGCTAATGCCATCCGTCATCAGTAGCGCGTCGAGGCCTGGGTTTGCCATCCTTGTGGTCACCTCTGGACCTGCGGCGTTTTGCTGGGCGTCGGTGCGCGGAGCCAGCGGCGGACTCGAGATAACCCTGCCTTCCCCTTCTCTTCTCCCCGTGCATCCCTCCCGCCGCAGGAAGCAAAAGCAGCGGCTCGAACCGAAGCACCAGCGAGAACAGCAGGAGGGCCCTTGGCCGGGACAAGGAGCGCAAGTCGGCGGGCAGCGGCAGCGAGTCGGAGCACACGGCGCGCAGCGGGGGCAGCGGCGGCGCGCGGCGCGAGCGGCCCCTCAGCCAGCTCAGCCACCGCAGCCACCTCTCGGCGGCGCCGAGCGACAGGAGCCACCAGAGCCACCACTCGTACGGGCCCCCGGGCGTCCCCCCGCTCTACGGCCTCCCCAAGGCGGCTGCCAAAGTGTACGGGACGACGAGCGGGCCGCCGGGAGGGCCGCCCGTGAGGGAACTGAGCGCCGTGCCGCCGGAGCTCACCGGGAGCCGGCAGTCCTTCCAGAAGGCCATGGGCAACCCCTGCGAGTTCTTCGTGGACATCATGTGAGAGGAGGCGCCCCGGGACTCGGCCGGCGGCGCGGGGGCTCGCCCGGCGCTTGAGAGGAGCAGCTCGGCTGTCTTGCATGTCACGCCTTCCTGGTTTGCAATTGTGTGTTGCAGAAAACAAAACAAAAAAAAAACCAACAAAAAAATCACATAAAAACAAAAGACGAGCAAAAAAATAACCTCCTGGGATTGTTACGTATCAGCACATTGAGATATCAGCATCTTTTTCTGTTCTCTTTTGTTTTTTTTCTCTCATCCCTTCTTGTTTCAGGCTGTGACTGGCAGTGTATGCTCACGTTATGGTCTTTGGAAATTGTGGCACCTGCTTTCAGTGCAATTAATGTTGTTTGGGTTTTGGCTGATGCAAGGACTAATATTTTATAGAACTTMCAAATGTCCTGTACGCATAGTAGCACCTTTATTCCCCCCTCCACAGTCCCTTTTTCTCCTGCAAGAACGAGGTGGCTGTTGGGGATCTTGGATCTTTGGATCTTCCCCGTAATGATGTTTCTGGTTGCCCARTGCTCTAGAGAGCAGATACAGCACCTGCAAGTGCATGTGCAACATGTGCTTGGAAAAGATCAGTGCCCAGACAGACAAAACTCTGACTGCCTTCGTCTGCCGACAAGGGAGTATAAATCAATTTTATTTTATTTTTAGGATGTTACCCTATCAAGGGAGCGGTAGAGTCTTGCTGCTGTGTGCGTTCATTGTGCAGACCTTGCAATGTTTCATTTGGTGTCACAGTGGTGACGCTGTCACTGCAGGCTCTTCCCGGGCATTTCAGTCATGTTCCTGCTGACAGACGTGTCCATTCTCTTCTTGCTCACTCGTTTTAGCTGTTTCCACGTAAGTAGGACAATTGCTGCTACCTCATTCTGCTGTTGTAGCTGCAGCCCTGCCCTTGTGCAGGGGATACCTGTCTGAGCCTGGCAGAGAGGAAGGTGAAGCCTTCCTGCTGCTGGGATGTGGGTGTGAGTTTTGGTCACCTCTTTCCTTCCATTTCTGAATGGTCTAATTCCTTTCCCCCCCCCCCAACTTCATCTCTGCACTGAAATAGAAGCCTGGAGGTGGCTAATCCCAATTGCCTTCTCACCCAAGGGGACACACATTGGGCATAGATGGGAGCTACCTGTTAGCAGAGAGGCAGGGGGTGTTTTGCGAACAAACTTACAGGGATTGAATCTTTATACCTGAGCAAGACCCTAAAGATCAGGCTCCTGCTGGGGAGCTYTGGCTTGAGAAATGCTGTGTTGCATCTCCCCAAGATTTCCCTGCTGCCTGGTTTTGGCTCTGAGGCCATGCGCGCTTATAAAATGTGCTCAGGAAGCCTTTCTGAAGCTTATGAAGCTTTTCCAAAAGCATCTGAGTCCGGGGGTGTTAAGAGCACACTCCACACCTGGGTATGAGGGCTCCTCTAATAGGAAATAATCCATAAATCTGCAGCCATGTAGTGGCGTTCRGCAATGGGGCTGTGCCTCAGTTAAGTCTCCTTTCAGATATACCACTTTCTGACAGGTTTTAGGACAGGTGCTTTAAAATCAGTCTTTATATAAGCATTTTCTTCCCCAAAAAGAAGCTCCTTTCTGTTATGTTCTGTGCTTTCCAATATGAATGTCAGAAAAGTGCATCTTTTTCACTGCAGACGTGTAGCTTCACGTTCCTTGGGCACCCTGAAAAAGCACTTTCCAAACCATCCCTTCTGTATGTTGTTCATTCTGGTGTGTCTTGCCCTTTTCTTCCTACTCTCTTTACAGATCTGTGTGTATATAGGAAGATCCCCCTTTTACAAAACTCACAGGAACCTTTCCAAGTGTTTGTGTTAACTTGGAGGTCTAAGACTTATTTTTGAAAGGAATCTGGGCMTTTGGGAAATATCGCCACTCCCATGAGGTACCCAAATTATTGAGCTTCTAAACCAGCTGAGTGTTATTGGGCTTATTGCTCACCAAAAATCCCCCTAAAGCAGTATTACATTTTAGACAGTGGTGCTTTCCTTATAATCTATTTTATAATCCTTATTATAATCCTTACAATAAGGAAATTATAATTTCCTTATAATCTGTCTGCTGGGCTATCATGGATTGCAAATTGGGTGATGATTTTATTCAAAAACGTGACCCTGTCTAAAGCTTGACTGTGCAACCATATTCCTTCTTTTTCTTTCCTACTTCCGCCAGAAACTCGGCAAAGACACCAGCCCAATCCAATAGACCGTTGGGAAGACTGACATTTAAAATAATGAAATAAATCAGGGTAAAATTCTCTGTCTCCTGTGTCTCTAAAGACACCGTTATGGAGCCTGTGACTTTACTGACAATCACTAGTGGATGTACATTTAAATCAGCTTTTCTGATCTCTTACTATGTTTTGTTTTTTTTCTGATCTGCTTTGTCTTAAGGCAGAACTTAGGGGACAGAAAGCAAAGACTGTMATTTTAATAAGGTATTTGCAGAAGGGCACAGCCTGAGCACCCGCAGGAGCCTCGCACCTTTGGAAGAGCTGCAGTATACATTGCAGTGTGCAGTATACGTTACCTGCTCGCTTTTGTGCCTGTGTGCGTGTTGTGCTGTTGGCAGAAGCTGTGCTGTGCCCTGTGGCGTTTGCTGCTCTGTGCAAATGACTGTTTCTGTACTTCTCTGTATRTGGGTAACTCCCAAACGAGGCTGACGGTCCCTGACGTAGGTGTGGGAAAGTGCTTGTTGCAGAGGAAATCAGGCTGCTAAATTGGGCACTTACTGGCTAGAAAGCCCTGTGTGACCTGAACAAGCTCCAGCCAAAATCAGGCATCTATTCTGGGCAGAATATTAATTGCTTAGAATGTACCCACAGATGTGCTAATGGCTGGCGAATATTGCAGAGTGTGTCGAGCGTGCTGCCTGTGAAGAGCAAAATGTTATCTGTGCCCCTTCTGTGAACGCTGCAGCGCATCAGGGCCATCGTGTGAGCAAAAAGGCTGATTTCTGTGTGAGCAAAAAGGCAAATTCTTGTGTGAGCAAAAAGGCAGATTCTTCCTGCTCCCTTGTAGTCACCGATGAGCTCCGGCGGAGGGGCTGGTTTCAGTGAGTGGAAAGCTAAGTCACTGCTCTCTCTTCCTTTTCAGAAGTGAATGAGGACAGGAGATTTCCCAGCCCCTGTCCGTGCCTCTGTATTTCTCTGTGTAATATGGAGTCCTTAACTGCAAGTGCCACTCRAGTTCAGGAAGTTACTCAAGGTAGAAAGTAACCTGTGCCAGGTGGAAAAGAATAAGGCTGGAGTCCTGTAAGACTGTTGCTTACATGAGGGCCTGACACAGAGCTGTAATTTWTGTGTCAAGTAACTGGCACTGGCTGGACTCTAAAATGTGAGATCTACCCCTAATTTTACCATGAGAGGTAATGAGGTTGCTGGACAAGGCAGTCGAATAACCTCATGCAGGACACCTAAATGGTGGACGTTTTTATAATTCTGCAAATAAGACTTTCAGCATCTGCCTGTGCTCTGCAGTGAGCTCAGTACTCGTGCCTACCTGCCCACAGCTTTCTACAAGGACTAACAGGTGCGTTTGGAAGATCATAGAAAATAAACGTGCAAAATAAACAGTTTGGGATGACCCCTCCTAGCCAMACATGGGAGGAAGGCATCTATTAACTTTCTGAAATTCAATGTTTTGGCAAAAAGCCCTGCTGTTGTCTTTGACSTCCCGTTAAGAAACTCAACTTTCAAAGCAAAAAACTTCTCCAAGGTTACAGTCCCCTAGACACTTTATCCAAAGGTATATTGGATGGCAAGCAATGATGCACAGACGTTGACTTTTGATATTATTTTTGTTCTATTTGAATGGGCAGTTCCATCTCGAAACTGACAGCTCATGAGTTGATGTAATTGTTTTTGTTTTGCTTTTAACTGGATTGTAATGATATTGACTTAAAATTATTAATTCTAATCAGTGATTAGAAATACCTGTAAAGAATTTTATGTACAGTAGAGGAAGAATGTTACATGATTTTAAATAATGAAAACCCAGACTATCGCCTATTCTAGAATTGGTTCTACTCAAAGAGTGACCTCTTACTAGCATGGTCTGCACTGTTCCTGTTAAATGTCTATTGCATAATTGAATTCTTTTTTTTTTTGTAGATATTGTATTAAAAACCCAAGTGTCTATATAGTTAATATATAGCTGCTTATGTGTAAATGCTATTTTAAAGACTAAAAAGCTTTTAATTTTATGTGATAACAGCAACGTGTGTCTTCAGTTCTTTGCACTACTGCATTACCTTTTATTCTGGAACGGTGACGTGTTGCTTAAATCTTGCTGTCGTGGTGTTTTGTTCCCCTGCCCATGAGGAAGTTGCATCCTCTTTACAGGAGAAGATTGCTCCAGAACTGAGACTAGGAAGCTTGGAGTTCTGGGCTTTAATGGTAGGATCATTAGGATGCCACTTTGCAGCCTAACTGGTAAGCCTTAAAGCCCAGAGATTGGGCTGAGCTTTAGTATAAGGGTAGCCGTGCCCATGGAAGGTGTGAGTATGTGCAGTTCCACCAGGTGAGTTCAGTTAAGCCGCAGCAACTGCATTAAATGACCTAGAAAAATCAGACTTGAGTAAAACATCCCCAGCTTTTGCACCGAGGGCTGTGCAGCTCTGGGGCCTCCTCTGCTGCTCGATGGGACAGGGCCATCTTACAAATCTGAATGCAAGTAAGAGATGCTTGTTCTTATTCAGACTATTCGGCTTTTTTTTCTGCTTTGCAGGTTGTCCAAATGGGAAGAAGTGTTTCTCTCTCTCTCTGGTGATTTTGGCATGGATTTTGAGGTAGGAGGGACATTTTGCTGTGACATTTGATAGTATGATTTGCATTTCATTTCCGTGCATCTTATCTGCACTTCCATGTTCTTTGCAAATACGTGTTACTGAAATTCAAATGAGTGAACGGACGTTTGAATGGGCAGTGCACAACTCGTGTCATGCAGGCAGCTCCCTTTACACCTCAGAATGATTTCTATTTCCCAGCAGATCTTGGGCAGTCTTGTTAAATAGAACTCAAGAGATGCAGAATTACCACGGAAGAATTTGTTTAGCAAGGTGCATTAAACGCATAACTCTACGCTCGGTAGTCAAATTCGCAGCAATGTTCTGCGRGAGGTATCGCTCGCAAACCACGGGCCCCAAAAGGTCTCTAAGTGGTGTAAGAGTCACTCACAGGAAACTATTTGCTCCTGTTCCTTCTCTGAAGTGAGATCCCCTACGCCCTGCMGGACTCTGCTGCAGGAGGCACTTCCAGGGAGGGGATTTTGTCCAGAATGTTCAAGCTCCCTCTAGCGAAGCTGCTTTCACAGCCTCCAAGTGCAGCAGTCGCTGCCTGGGCAGGTTTTAGTTCTGCATTGGATGAATCCAGAAGCAGCGACAGCAGCGAGACGCTGAACTTGCCCCAAGCCACGTGCAGGACCTTAGCAGCAGGAAYCAACAGAAGGGGCTAAAAACGACATTGTTCAGAGACAGGGCAAGACACCAAGAAAGCAAATGTCACTAAGCAATAACTTCTTYAGATGAGTAGCATAGAAACATACAGGAAATGGTGTCTTTTACTTGAAGCACACTCTGCACAGACTGGTTATTTAAAAAAAATCAACTTTTTTTTATTTCCACATGGTAACACTACCATTTCGGCATTAAACCCGCAAGAGACRTAACATTTTTCACTTGACACAGAACAACAAAGCACTTTAAGAAACTTCAATCATATTGTAATACTTAATGCCCTATACATATGAGACAGCATGAGATGCAGTTTGTAACATGAAACTGCTCCATTCTATTATTTAGATTTATCTTTTTATTTTTTTAAGGTGGTCTTGGCATAAAGGGAATGATATTTATGATACTGTAGAAGAGCAATTAAATCTCCATTTAGGATGTGCAAGGAAACTAATTTTTCTATGTTCAGGCAAAAAAACCCCACTGTTGACAGATAGTAGTCAGCATAGGGGCTCCGTCACCAACTTCACCTCATCCATGGCGTTTCTCATGTTTGGGTTCCTATCTGTCCATTACATAGATTAATTAGACCCTGCTAGTGAAAGGCAAGACAGGAATATAGGACACCACAAAATGATGTTCCTTCAGCAACACAAGAAGGAAATCATTCCTGCAGAGGATGCTCTTCAGAGGAAAGTTAAGTTTGATGATGAGTTAAGACTAATTCCATGGCATGATGGTGATTTCCCAAATCATGCAGTTTCAAATTAGTCCAAGTGCCTCTGATTTGAGATACAGACAAAATATATAACAAAATTTGTGCGATTCTCACAAGCGTTCCAAGTATTCATGTCTTWTAAAAATAGCAGTATAGTGTTTTTTCAGCTCTTAGAAAGCAATGTAAACTTCATTTAATGTCCTTCATTATATATACACGTGTATATATACACATATGTATATAAATATACAGTGTTTCATGCATAGAAGTCACTTGCACTGATTGGAAGCCATACGCTTCAGAGCAGTGACTTAGAGCATAAATTCAGATTTCTCCTGTCAGAGATAGTTTCTGTAGGCATATGACATTCATTTAAGAAAACAAAACATGAAAACACAATTTAGAAGTGCAGCTTGAAAACATATAAATTAATAASAGGTTTACCTGGATATATAATGGTGTAGTGCATACTGAAAGTTGCTCTGAGTCCCATGATGCATAAAATATAGAAAAGTAATGAGCAGGGGAATGTACATTGAGAGGATGTTCCTGCTTCATGCAGCTGTATGCAAAGGAAAGCTAGTATCTTTTGGGAACAAAATGCAACACCATCTTTAAAACTGGGTACTACAGAATGAGCAGCAATCATGGGCTGAGTCTGTGGCCAYTGGGAAAAGTGCTTCCTTTCAGAGACACATGATCTGTATCACGTTTTTGGCTTTAAACATAACACAGAGCAAAAGCTCCCATCTATTCGGGGAGCAACTTCTAAAGCAAGTGGCAAAGTGAGCTCATGTGCAGAGAAATAGTTCAGGGTATAGCAGGGCTGGAACACCTGAGTTTAATGCATGAGTTTTAGGCACGGGAGATCCCAGCTACTGCTGTCAACGCACAGAAGTGGCTAAGACTGCTCATTTTGGCTTAAAAAAAACCCCAAAACAACGCACCTCTACAAAACCTAGCTGGAGTTCTGAAGGAGGAAGAAGGAAAGAAACTCTTTTAAGCAAAGTGTTAGACTTCCTGCATAGCTAAGGCAAAATGTGCATGAGTATTGTATGTGTGTGTGTGTGTGTGTGTGTGTGTGTATATACACATATATTTTTTTCTTAGGAAGTGAGGCATCTTGGATAGATTTGCCAGCCTGTTACCTCTGTACTGAAAAAGGAAAGAAGTGCCCCAGGGTGCGAGCAGCAGTTAGTTCGTGTGTGACAACAGCCTTCCCTGGAGGAGCCACGAGGACTTSTGTGGGTCCGTGCATGCGCTCAGGGCAGGTCGAGCAGCTCGTGCTGGGCGTAGAGCTCCTCGGTGATGCCGTAGACGCTGCAGATGTGGGGCAGGGCCTCGGCCAGCATGGCCACGGCCTCGTCGGGGCCGCCCACGTTCATGGTCTCCAGGAAGGCGTTGCGCGAGGGCAGCGCGCAGAAGGCGGCCGTGGCCACCTTGCGGATGACCCACGGGTGGTAGCGCGCCAGCGACGCGTTGTACGAGTCCGTGCAGATGGCCGACGTCTTGGAGTCCTCGCGGCTCGTGCGCAGCCCCTCGAGGAAGAGCTGGAGCCAGCGCAGGGCGCGGTGCAGGCGCAGCACCGTGCGGCAGCCGGAGTCGGGGTGCTCGGCGCGCCGCTGCGTGTCCACCAGCCCGTGCGCCACCTCGTAGCGCACCATGGACTGCAGCGTGCGGTACTCGTCGCGCCGCGCGCCGCTGCAGTAGCGCTCCATGATCTGTATTTTGGCCAGCGCGTCCTTGGAGACGAAGGAGAAGATGGCGCCCAGGCTGTTGAGGAACCTGCGCGAGGGAGAGAGCCGCGCGCGTCAGCGGCCCCGCCAGCGCCGCCGCRGGGCCGCCCCTCACTCACCGGATGAGCCCCCGCCAGCCGCGCAGGTAGGGCCCGAGCAGCACGTCCCGCTGCTCCGTCACGCAGCCCTCGAAGGCGACGAGCACCTCGCGCAGGCAGAA